TAAGAGGATTTATTTATCCATCTTATTTAACAATAAACAAATAAAATTTACGTCATCTCCTATATATTTTTTTTACAATATTTGAAACGGTAATTTTGTAAAGTAACATAGCAGATAATTTATTAGATAAAATTTCTTAACTAAAGTTACTAGAAAAGTAGACATAATTGCCAAAACATAGTTTAAAAAGTTAGTAGAAAGAGGTTGCTTGTAGTTTTCTAGACACGTACATATAACACAAACCATTACAGCGAGGTACTTCAACATATACCCGATACTAATCTCCTTTAATGGCACATTACATTGGCTCGAGTCTGCCAGTCGACCATGTACAGGTAGAAGGTCACAAACGTTGCTGAATTACTGTTAGAAGCGTAATTTCTTCTCAGTACCGCCCACGTCGTAGCTCACATGGCATTCCCTAGCACAGTCTCCGCCCCGTTACTATGGCTACGAGTGTATAGGACTGCCCAGAAGATGTCGGTTATGCTCCTATTTTGTTTAATGTATTTTACAATATGTGTGTGTGGCTCCGTAGCCCAATCTTTTCCTTTAAATAATTGTAAATAATAATAATTATTATTTTTACTTTTGTTTTTTAAATTTTAAAAAATTATTCTTTCGAAATTCTAAGGGATAATTACTCTTTTGCTCTATCTTATCGGATATTGCTTCTCCAAGGATGATGCGTTTTATTATCATAATTTTTAAATGATGATAAGCTTTTTTTAAGTATAATTTTATTATATTTTAACTTTAAATTATCTTTTTAAAGATAATATTATAGTAAATAATAAAAATCACAGAAAATAAACTAAATTTAATTAATCAGGAACAACATTTGTAGAAGAAATAATTAAAATATTGCTTGTTTTCTAAGCTATTTCAAGTTATTAATTTTATTTTTCGTGATTTAATTCTTTCACTTTTCTTCTTTTTAAAAAGTAAAATCGAACTTTTTGTAAATGATTTTAATGTTTTTGGTAAATTTTTAATTAAAAATATAAAATTATAAGTAACATCTTTATATGTATTTTATGTTATATAATTTTAAAATATTCAGATTACTCTTAGAAAAAGAATATTAAAATTTGTAACTTAATAGCGAATAATGAAAAAAGTCTCTTTTGTTAGTTTTGAGACGTTTCAAGATGAAATTTAACGAAAAGTTATAAATCTCTCTGGATTATCAGTTTAAAATATCTTATTGAGAAAAATATCTTTAAACTTGTAGTTTTATTAATATTCCCATTCATTAAACATCGTATTTTCACTTTCTAACATAAAGCTTTGAACGTGCTTATAATGTAATTTTTCCATTTTGTATAGCGTAATTTGTTAGAAAGGAAAGCTCTCTATATAATTTTTATTTAATTATAACAAAAAAAGGAGCCTTATTGTGTTAGGATACACGTTTTGTAGCCCCTTAAAAAGCCCTTGGACTCTCCGTACAATGTCCAAAAACAGCCTAAATCATGCAGAAGAGATAAAGGTATCTTCGTGTCAAAAGGGAGGTTGGCGAGATATAAACACTTATTTTATAGTGCAAAAATAAACATTTCACCCCTGAACTTGAATATTTTTTATATTCGAACGATCCTTGAATCGAAATATCATATAATACAGACTTCATCCCTGTTTACTTATGCTGAACATATAGTATACCATCCTCTTCGGGCCTGTATCGATAGTATTTTTATTCCAGGTTGGCTTATAAGTATTCCAAAGGTTACCCACTTTTAAAGATTTTTCCAGTTGTTTAAGAAGGGATTACGAGATTGTTTAAGGCCTGGAAAGGCCGCAGTTGTGTTAAATTCACCTGGAAACATTGAAAAAGAACAGAGTAAGCCCTTCTACATCGTATAGAGGGAGATCCCAAATTGTTGAAGAGGCCGAATCAGACTGTTCGACACCAGACGTTCGAAATCCTGTTTCAGAAAGCCAAAGTGTCATTCCCAATCGTTTCTGGTGTTGAGTGACCTGTTGCCAGATTCTCTTCATCGGTAGCTGCGGCCTGACAATTGGCTTGTGTTCAGCCAACGTAATCCTATCGTCACACACGTTGCTTTTAATGGAGTGGATCGAAAACCTTGAATGAAAATCGATTTTTAATTTAGAAAAACAGGGGAATGGGCAGACATTCCCTCGGGGAGTGTTGAATAACACAGTCTTTCTATCAATGTTTGTTTTCCCTCCAGAGAACGTGGCGTGTCTTCCACCTGGCGTTTTCGTTTCCCAAGAGAGTAAAGTGCACGACCCCCTAACTGTTTTTGCCTTTTTGTATAGCTTTTGTTAGTTCTCTTGTAATCACTGTCTCTTGTGTGTGTGTGAAGAGACTTTGCCTCTAGCGGGATGAGTTATTACAGACGGGTACTGTGAATATAAGGATACTATAAAGAGGATTAGTATCACCGAACAGATTAATGTTAAGCTAGCATTAATATAAACATTGATGTATACATCTGTAGTTTGTTATTAACGTTTCGAGTTCTCTGTAATGATACGAAATTAGAAAATAATACAGGCGTTCTGTTTTACATCTTGCTTATATTTTTAAATATATAAGCAAAAATTTAAGTGCTAATGTTAATATTAAAGAAAATCATGTTTTTGTTAACTTTACTGATTGTTTTCAGCAATTAGAAATTGTTATATCGAACAAAATTCGTTTAATTTTGATAAAAATGACAATTCTGAGATAAATTTTATTAAAAATGCGATCATTTCTACTACATAAAATTAAGTAAATGTGTTCAGTTACACACTAACTGTTTACAAAGACAAATGATAATTTAAACTAAGATAAATATGCATTAATTGCATTAAAAATTGATAATTTTAAATGAAAATTAAGTGCTCAATTGTAAACCTAATTAATTATTAAAAATATGATAATTTGTGTTCGTTTTTTAATACATAAAACTGAATATATTTGAATAAATGTGTTCAGTTAAACGTTAACTGATTGTCAAGACTTTATAACAGATTATAATTTAAGTTAAAATAAATAAGTTAATCAATTTAAAATAAAAATTGTCAATATAACTGATAAAATGAGCTCATTTGTAGCAGATGAAACTAAAGTTGTTTAATAAATTAAACGCATGTTCAGTTACACATTAACTGATTGTTAAGAACTTATTGAGGCTAAAATGTATTAAAAGTGATAATTCTGTAATAAAATTAATGTTCAATTGTAAGTACAACGTTAACTTTTGTAACTCATTTTTGCACACAAAGTTAAAAAATATTTAATAAAATTAAATTTACGTATTAACTAACAGTAACAGATGATTATTTAAGCAGAAATAAATAAATAAATTACGTTTAAACTGATAATTTTGAGTTAAAATTAAAGTTTAACTGTAAAAGTAACTTATAACATGCCCTTATATTTGCAGCATGCGAAACTAGAAATGAATAAAATTAAATATATATTCAAATTACATGTAAATAATTCTTAACATATGATAACACGTGATAAATTTAAACTAAAAATCAATCAATTTCAATGAAAATGGCAATTATTTTGAATTTGAATATTATTTAAATTGTTGTAACTGATTTGTTTATGGCATACGAGCGATTTGGCGCCATTATTTTAAATCGTTACAGTTAAAAATAATTCAATTTCATAACAATAAAAACGATTAATCGATTTCAACGAAAATGATTCGTTTAAATTATTTTAAACTCGATCGCAAAAATTACAACGAGTACCACCTATTTTCTATTAAATTAATAAAAATCGAATAAAAATATAAAATTTTAAACCGTAAAAAAAATGTTTAATATAAACAAAATTAACTAAAAATAAATAAAATAATAATTAATTTTGTATAATAAATTGAAAAAAAAAATTTAAACATTTTTAAACATAATAAATTAAAGAAAGACTAAAAATGATATTTTTTAAAAAAGTTTCTATAATATAAATATTTAAAATTAATATAAAAATCGAAAGATTAGATTAAAAATAACAGAAAAATGGGTAGACGTATTGTAAATCTGTATATCTACAAGATGATACATCACCTAAATGAGAGTTGTTGGGGCTATTCATATACATTGCAGTAGAACTGTACTTCTGAGAAACACTCGTGACATTTATGATATCACGCGTGGCATGTCTTGATACTGTTCCTTCAATAAGAAAACTTTTACATTAAAGAAGCAATTATGTAAATGTACGTAACTTGCCTTATATAAATGACCTTAAAATCATTAATATATTAGAATTAACCGTGTAAAACTTTCTTTATAAACATTATGCTATTATGTTTTGAACTTTTAACTTTTAAATTAGATGTTCTAGAGGTGCGAATGTACAATTTTCAGCTGTATAATTGCATCATTTAAGTACTGTACTCTTTATCCAATATAGTGGCCTAGAAAACCGTAGGTCAAACGGTGATGCGAGTTATCCTACTGTCAGATATTCGAGTTTAGAACAAAATTATGAACTTAATTCATAAATATAACCTATTTTCTATACATAAAATTTAATTTTTTATGTGTATAAGTGGTTAAAACTGGTAAATCTTCATTTTAAAGTTGCTCCTTGTATGCATTTGTTATCATCACAACGTGTTGACTTCGTCTCTCGTTTTTTTCCAATCATTAGTTTTTTTTTCCTTTTTGAATAATTAGTTAACGGTTATAAATTATTTAAACTGAATTGTGTTCGAGTACAAGTTGTAATTATAACTTAGTGCTATAATTATAGTAGTTAGAAATTTTGTTCTTAACACTTCTTTCGCCTCTTGTTTGATAGATAAAATGGATAAAAATACTTTTTTAACTGGAAGAAAATCTAAGAGAATTATTTAAATTTATAAACGATTTCAAAAAGAAGAATTAGAAAATTAAATTACATTACTTTTTATGGAAATATAAATTTAATAAATTAATTAAAATTCATTCTTTTTTTGCATAGAGAATTTCAAAAGAAAAACAAGAAAAAAGTTTTACCAAAGCAAAAATTACATCTGATTTATTCGTTAATAGAAAAAATAAAGATTTTTTAANTCCAGCCACGCTTGTAATATAGGCTTTAATGCTACCATGTTGTTATGGGAGAGAGTAAGAGATTCGAACCTACAGATAGTGCTCTGTGATAACGAACCGACTCCTGGAAGCTTCAGATTAGCTAGGGCTTTACCCACATCCGCTTGTGTCACCCCTAATTTGATCCTTCGTTGCTTAAACCTCTCAGCAAACGCTTCGAGTTCGCGTGGATCCGTATCGGCATCGTGCATGGTAACTGGATGATGCGTAGTTAATGAGTGATGTGACCCCATCATACTATTCATACTATGAGAATAGATAGGAGCGTGAAGTTGACCATGAGAATGAGAACTCACCGAATTCGATTCGGAAGGTATTGCCAGAGGTGGTAGTGACGACGGACAAATAGGATCCAACAAGTCCATTGTATCCATTCCAGGATGGCCCATTTGTGTATGATGTGGACGAGCGTTAGGATTTCCATGGCCCGTACCTACCCCGGGATGATGCGGATACATCATATCATGTTTAAGATGCAAACTTGGCCCACTTGGCGGTACATCTACATAAAAGCGTATTTATATAAAGACGGAGATAAGAAGCTCAAGAGTATCTTCTTGAAAGGTGCTTTTAAACTTAAATAAATTAATTTAAATGACGTTCAGAATAACTAAAAATTAAATTTGATATTAAAATATCATTTTTTTGGTATAAATATAAGTTTTTCATACACGTTTCGTTTATAAAAATAAAGAAAATTGTGGGGAAAACATGATATAAATTCGTATCTTTAACCAATGTTTACTAATAGATAACAAATTACGATATTTATAAAATACTATTATTTTATAAGTTTTTATCGAAGGAAAAAAAACTGTTATAAACATTTTAATGTATCATGAATTCATTCCTATATTAAACTACGGTTATGTTGATTTAATAAAAACTGAGACGGACACATTGCAGACAAAAAAATATGTGGAAAACCGTGTTTTATTGACAGAATTGTTCCAGTTTGTTTGACAGATGAAAAGTTTAGATGATGGTTTTTGAGCAACAATAATGCAATAGAGAAAACAAAGTTATCAACTATAGGTATTATATTTTTTTTTGTCCATTTTTTTTCTTGTTTTCGAATATTGACGCTGATTCTGTACAGGATTGAAAATTACAAACAAGCGTACTTCTCCGATGAGGAATATTTATCTTGGTTATGCATTTGTGTATATATATATATATATATATATGTATATATACACGTATACATTATATATATATGCATAAATTCTGTCTATATATAGATATATATATAATATATACATGTATAATTTTGGCATGAGCAGTGCGAAGAAGCTTCGTGGCTGTTGCGCTTTTTTTCGTTTTTAAAGGAAAACTAATAGAACAAACTCAAATCTTTTGGACAAATTTTTAAGATTTTATTGTATATTTTTTATTTTATAAGTTTTTATGAAGTAAGATCGACGATAATTTCAAATTTTATCGAAAAATTTTAGATGTTTTTCTTCTATTTAAAATCCGCTCTTTAATCCTAAAAGTTAAATTTTTAAAGATTCGTACGCTGAAGAGACCTTTTTAAAAGATAAAAATAGCATATTAAGTTTCTATGTTTTCTTATAAGAATTTATATTGGAAGTTTACACCATTATTGGGAAGATTTATAAGGAAAAAAAAGGCCTCTAAAAGCTTTTCATCATCACATTTTTTTGAAGTGATGTGAATTCCTTAAAGATAGGAATAAGTTCTGTTTATCTTTTTGTCCAATAGATTTTATCGTTTGTTATCACTCGAATTATGGTGCCAAGGTTAAGATGACTAACGACAATTTGGTGTGTTCTTTTCTTCTTACTGTTATATTATAAGGCGTATCAAAAATTAATAGTTAAGAGAGGCTAAAAGTTGAATGGAAATTACGGGATATCCCTGCCGTTTATTTAAATGTAAGGGTATTTTTTATTCGTTTCTGTAAGTGACAGGAACCTAAATTTGTTCCTAAAATCCCTAGATTGTTCCTGATGCTCTCTAAAAGATTAAATTGGTTGTATAATGGGTTTTGATACATTCTATCCACAAAAAGAAACTAAAAAGATAATAAAATAAACTTAAAATTAGTTAGAAAGATTATCAAAGATGGGGAATTTCTTAATGAGATATGAAGATTTTGTTCGGTTTCTTTTTGTATCGATCTATAATTTCCGATGACTGAAACAAGAAGATATTAAAGGACAACACTTACTAGGCACCTCCGATCTTCTATATTCTTGTGATTACTGTGATGGACGATTCCCTTATAAAGATAAATTTAAAAGAAAGATAAAAAGAAACGAAAATCAAATATTTTTGGCATGCAGAAAATGTAAAAGTGTTAAAATAAAAAGGAAGGAAGCTTTGAAAATTTCAAAAAATTCGCGTTATTAACATTATTAATTGGTTTTTTTCTTCTTAACCCATAAACTGTGGATTTTTTTTTCTAAAAACTACAATTGTTTTTGCTCTTCTTAATTTATCTTCAATTCATTCGGGATGGGTGTGAATGGTTATGATAGTCCCCATGCTGTATATATACATACACAACCGTGCACAGTCACTGTTAATGTTGTTGTGCAGAATACTTCATCCGTTTCTGCTTCTGTCTCTGATTACAAAACCAAACTCTCACCACATTCTTCTTTAAGTCAAGTTTCTCAGCAATGGCGGCGATCTTCTCTCCCGACGGCCGCGGTTGTACAGCAAAATAAGCTTCGAGTGACCTTTTTTCGGGTCCGGCAATGGATGTCCTCTTTCGTTTTTTTTCTCCTGTAGGCAATACGCATGGTGCATCCGGATCTCTTCTCTTGTTTCTGGCCTGCGATTCCGCAGCTTCCAGCCACGCTTGTAATATAGGCTTTAATGCTACCATGTTGTTATGGGAGAGAGTAAGAGATTCGAACCTACAGATAGTGCTCTGTGATAACGAACCGACTCCTGGAAGCTTCAGATTAGCTAGGGCTTTACCCACATCCGCTTGTGTCACCCCTAATTTGATCCTTCGTTGCTTAAACCTCTCAGCAAACGCTTCGAGTTCGCGTGGATCCGTATCGGCATCGTGCATGGTAACTGGATGATGCGTAGTTAATGAGTGATGTGACCCCATCATACTATTCATACTATGAGAATAGATAGGAGCGTGAAGTTGACCATGAGAATGAGAACTCACCGAATTCGATTCGGAAGGTATTGCCAGAGGTGGTAGTGACGACGGACAGATAGGATCCAACAAGTCCATTGTATCCATTCCAGGATGGCCCATTTGTGTATGATGTGGACGAGCGTTAGGATTTCCATGGCCCGTACCTACCCCGGGATGATGCGGATACATCATATCATGTTTAAGATGCAAACTTGGCCCACTTGGAGGTGAATGTTTGGTTATGTCAACTGCAGTCAATCCATCGGCACGACCCATTAATCCATCATCCAGTCCAGCAAATAGATTGCTCTGAAAACAAAAATTAAACCCCATTACAAAATATACATAACCCTCATAGATAACCACTACCTTAAACATTGTTACAACATCAGAATTAATATTTTAGACCGGCTAAATAATTTAAAAACGCCAGCTGACTTGTATGAGATGTGTTTTTCTACAGATTGTAGAGAAAAGTATTCACATTATTGGCAAAAAATACATTTAACCAGTCGAAATAGAATCAATAAAGCTGTTTAGTAACATAAATCCGACAGCTAAATTGAATTTTAGAGCTTAGTGATTTTTTTTCTCTTCTTCTACTTTTATTCCACTTCTATACTTCATCTCGCTTCGCCCTATACTTAGTACTATCTTTTATACTTGTTTTACTTAGTCTAAGATTAAAACCATAATCATTTCTTAAATTTTATAAAGTTTTTATCGAATTAAAACTATATTATATATAAACAAGTTTATTTTAGTTAAGAAACTAAATTAGAGGTGCTTCACGAAACCCACTTCGCATACTTTTAATGTTAGTTTGAAAAGAAAGCTTAAACTTTTATAAATTTTTAATTAAATTAAAAAATAATTATAATCATCAGTTTAAATGAATAACTTTTATACATTTTTCTGAATAAATTAATATAAAAATTTTAATTAAATCTTAACTATCATCAGTCTTATCATCATTATGGAATTAAATAATATATAAAAATATAATTTAAAAAGTTTCTCTTTTATAACAGAAATTTAATTTTTTTAATTATATTATATTT